TTATCATACCATACTACCTTTAGTACCACTATTTAATACCCCCTTCAAATAATACCCGGATACATTATAAAAAAAAAATCTCAAAAAAATTGTATAAGATTCGTATTAAATTACGAGCCAGATGTGCCTTTTTAAGATAGAAAGTTGTTTAATTAAATTGTACTACCACTACAAAAATTAGAAGTAATTAAAGCAATTTTTCTTTTTAAGATAACTTTGTTTTGTCAGTTTATTTAATTGGTATCCTAAAATGAGGATTAAATTCATCGGTATTAAGATTTAATAGATTTAATCAAAAATTATTGAATCATAATACAACCATGTCAGTACCCCCTAGCTTGTATACCCAACGCACTCTTGGTTAAGTACTTGGGATATTTTGTCATATATAATACTCTTCTTTTTTGATAAAGCCCAGGTACTAAAGGCAGTACGGTATGGTAATTGAAAAATTAACATTGATCAAAGTAAATTTTAAGTAATTTACATTGTCAAAAGACAGTTTATATTTAAATATGAATTCTTCTGTGATACTCTTGTTGGCTAAGAGTTGGCATATTCCATTGAGTACCGTTCTAAACTCAAGTGTATATTCCAATTCTTTATATTCGAAAATAGTTTCTTTTCTCTAACCGAAGTTTGGAAGATTAAGATCTTCGATAAATTCTTGCCCCCTTTGTGATATCGATGGTAGTGGATAATCATTGCGATTAGAATACTTGTTAAAAAATCGTATAAAGGCATTTGCAAGTATATCTTGTATATGAAATTTTGTTACAATATGCATAAATTCTGCATATTCTTCTGAAAGAAATACTTGGTATATGTCCTCAGGATCATTTTGTCTTCTAGTATACAAAGCATCATATTCAATATATTCGTTAATATCTATATCTGTAATGTCCGATAGATCAGACTGTTCATCCGATGTATTACTTTGAGAATCAATATCGCTATGATCAAAGAGTTCAACACTCTGTTCTTCAATAGATTCATCTGATATATTACTTTGATAATCAAAAAATTTAACGTCTTGTTCATAATTTTGAATGTTGCTTACACAATTAAAAGATGAAGTACTAGGATTTTGCTTTTCAATAGATTCATCTACATTAGAGTTAATCTTTATTAAACTATTGTACTTGTTTTGATCATTAAGAACTCTGTTTGTTATTTCAACCAAATTTGTATGAACCGCTTGACTTGACAAAGGTAATTCTTCATCACTGTCATCTAAATATTTTTTTTATGTGATTATCTAATGCTTGCCAGTTCATAAAAGCCTTCTTACAATATAAACACTTTGGTATCTTGAATAATTTACTACTGAAATATAATCACACAAATAAAATTATATTTACGTTCTAAGTTCTGTCCTCACGA